CCCCATTAATTTTGCTCGATGTTTGCAGATGACCTGACATTGATAGAGGATGGCTGTCTTCTTCCTGGGTGGGGAGTACATGCAGGTGCCCTTTCTCCTAAGGGAAGGGCAGGCAGGCCGCCGCAATTACCAGTCAGCACATTCCGAGAGGCAAAATCCCTCTGCTTGTGCAACATATTGCCCACAAGGGCCACAACCCTGTTTCTTTTTCCTAGCGTTTTGATTGAGACAGTTACAAATTGTTCGACGTCCACGCTTCAGGAAACCTGCACGTATTAAAAACAAAAACAAAAAACGAAACCTGCATGTAAAAATATTATTCCGATCCATCGACCGATCGTTAACCACCTTTCACACGTCTGCTACCTTCACTTGGTGGAAGAAACCAATACAAACTACCAAATCAGAGTTCAAGTATAATCACACACCTTTCTTTGAGAACATTCACCTTCCTTTGAGAACATTCTGTGAATAGTCCGGAGAATCGTATTCTACCGAAGTACTTCCGCATGATAAATACGGAAATCCTTCTTGTTTTTTTTTTTTTGTTAATGATGTCATGAAGTTTCAGTAGATTCTTCATGCCGCACTGTGAGATGATCCGCCAGTTTTCGTTCCAATTTCAACGGTTGTCATGAAGGAAGGACCCTTAGGGCCTCGCTCCACTACTCACCACATGCAGAAGAGACAAAAGACATGGTGGCAACGGCGCTGTATCTTTCCATGTTTTAGTAGAAGATTCATTCTTTTTTTTCTTTTTTTTTTTATAGCAGAAGATCCATTCTAATATGAGAAATGAGACTGAATAGCAGAAGATTCATTCTCATTCCTCACATTTGGTGAGTAGTACTTCAGTGGAACAAGGCTCTTTTTTCTCTCTTCTTTCGATCCGGGTACGAACTTTAACAGACGTCTAGGTTTGTACTTCACGCACCTGGGTAGAGGTCCCTCTACCAAAGGAGGACTGGATTTGACACCTGAATCTGGAATTGGTTATGGAGAGGTGCAGAAACCCATGATATCTCTGCTTTTCTGCATCTCTGCAGAAAACATGTTCTGATTCAGACGACCTGATTACTATGGGCTGATCAACACGTAGAAATGAAAGTGGCAGGTAAAAGTGCAATTGCGCCTTCGCCCCTGGGAGAAGCGGGCTCCCACATCACACCCTAGAAACGCTGGACCCCGTTAGCAGGTGCGAAGGCGCAATTGCGCTTTTACCCTCCAGGGAGAGAGGGACACAACAGTTAATTATGGACAGGAAGCTCGACAATCACCGAGTAACACAGTTCACTATTATGGGGAAAAAAAAAATAAAAAAAATATGGACTGTCACTAACATGGCCAGGCCCACTAGGGAGAGAGCGACACAACACTCCCCCTAGTAGGCCAAGGCAGATTCGTGAAAACAAAAACAAAAACAAAAAACTAGGAAAAAGTAAAGAGTGCCCGCACAAGAGAAGTGTGAGCATCCCCTCGCGCACATCCTTTCCCTCGATTCAGCAACGAAAGCCTACATACAAGCCATCTAGATGCCCAACGGGACGATCGTTTTTTTTTGTTTTTTTTTTTTGTGGAAAATTGAAGGTTTCGAGGGGTGGAGTTTGGTCCGAATGTTCGCAAAATTGAAGGTTTAAAGGGGGGTGAAGTTTGGTCCCGAATTTGGCGAAATTGAAGCTTTAGAGGGGGGTGAAGTTTTGATACGGTTACTTTGTCAAACGATTTCCCCAGGGACGCTCTGTTTTCACTCTCTACTTTACACACAGGAGTAAA